TGAAATGTTAAACGAATCGCGATACACGTTTTAAACAGCAGGGCGCGTTTACTATAGCCTACTGTGAAGTTGTGAACCTCGCTTTACAATAGCACAATAGCAGCGAGCACACACTGGCGTGAAGCTAGCGAGTGTTTTCACTTCATTCATGGAACTTGATCTTGTGTGAGCCAAGCTCAACTTCCATAGGAATGAACTGAAAACGCTCGGTTTGCTCCGCTCGCGCCGCACCAGTGTGTGCCATAGACTGGTGTGCACGTGCCCTCAAACAGTAGACATGGCTTTGGCGACGGCAAGCGTATGTTGACGTTGACTCATTCAAATCGGAGGTGTGGCGGCATTTTGACTTTCCGTAGACTAATAATAATCACCACCGTGAGTAACACCAGTCACCTCCGTTTTCATGTAAAAGTCATTAATACTACAATTGCGAGAGCCACGGAGATCACAAGGTGCATCAGTGTTTCCGTGGCAACCAGGTGTTGTATTTATTTTACTATCTCTTTCTCTAAATGTGTTTTTTTTTTACTCTTACTAGTGTAATGATACAAATTATAACAAAATTAGAATCTTGCCTTTATTACAATGTAAAACCCCTGTCAATCTGGTACTACTAATTTTACACAGTCTTTTACATAGTGTGCGAAGGTACCAGTGTCCAGCCTCTTGACCAAACAGACAGAAAGACTGAGTTGAAACAACCTTGAAGGGAATTTTTTTAATGTAGTTTTATTATTTGAGAAATATATTTTAAATTAAAAAGAAATGTGCAGCATTTTGTCTGAGAAATAATAAAAGGGACACTTTTGTCTTAAATCGCATTTGTTAAAAAAATCGTGAGAAAATCGTATCGTGAAACCAGTATCGTGAATCGTATCGCATCGTGAGATGAGTGAATCGTTACATCCCTAGTCAAAACACTTTGTTATTCTTACTTTTTTAACATTAACTTACATTTTTAAACCAGACTTAGGCTATATATCGGTTCAAAATATCGGTTATCGGTCTACTTGATCTGTAATAATCGGTATCGCATCGGCCCTGAAAATCCCACATCGGTCGACCCCTAGTTCACATTAGCGCTTTAAGTGCGTGATCCATGTTCTACACTATCCTCGTATCCTGCAATTTCCGCTGGTTTCAGAACACACAACAAGTTGGATATTACCTGCTATTCATTTTCACTGAAATGTATGCCTAATTGTTTGACAGTTGGTGACATAGCATATATATCCTCGGAAAAACTAATGCCAGTGCATTGCCATTGCGTCTTACCTGATGACTTGAAAGCTGAGCACAGGCATTTCACTCACGTTGGATAGGTAATGCGTCAATATCACATTTGCATAATCTATTCGTGATTGTTTGACTGCCAAATTAAAATATTAAACAGAACATAAAATAACTTTATTAACCGGTTAATGGCAATTTTAAATAAGCATTTCTGTTCAGAACGATTAAATTTGATTTTGTTTCTGGTTATATTCCTGTCAAAATTACGTTTGTTTCCAGTTCATTAAATTTCGTTCATTTACCCGGTTTGGAGCCCTGATTGCTGCTACATTTTAAACTTGAAATTACAATGTTTACATTTGGAATTTTATATAGCAATATTTTATGTTGGGCCTGTAATCATTTGTTTTTTGAAAAGTGTTTTATATTTTGTATTTCTATTCTACATTCTTAAACATTTGCCAATCAAACAAAAGTTCTAAATAAAGGGAGAGAAATAATTGAACTCAATTTTGAGTATATACTTTAAAATGTAGAAAAGAAAATTGTCCTTCCCATGTGGTCAATATTAAACTATTAATCTATTGAATTTACAGAAAAGGGACTATATCATGATATTGTTATCGGGATATGAAATTACTTATACCATGATACGAGATTTAGGTTATATCGACCAGCCCGCCCTACTCTAAGTGAAAATAATATCATTGATGAGATTTAAATACAATTAATATTTGGTGGCCATGATTAGGGGTAGGGGTGGGCGATATCTCGATATTTAAAATATATCGAGATATTTTTTAAACACAATATGGATTTTGACATATCGTATATATCGATATATTGTTTATATTTAATCCTGATTTCGCCACTTTGCTTGTTTGCCTTCTCTGTGCTGTGCTCGCCCCCGCCTCCTTGCTTTTGTTCCCCCTCACCTCGCGTGTTGTCTCATTCAACAATTGTCTCATCCGCAACCAGCCCGGAGGCTACAGAACTCCGAGTGTGTCTGCGCGCGAGCGACAGAGCACGAGAGAAACCTCCAACGCATTCTCATCCCAAAGCGTAATATATTGACTCTTTTGCCAAAGCGTCTATATCCAACGCACATGGCACCCTTTAGCGTCAATATAACACGCTTCGGTTTTGGGTAGGTTTAGGTCTGGGGTAGTGTTAGGGTTAGACCACTAGGAGGCGCCATATATCTGCGTGGGTTAGGGTTAGGGTGCGCAAGACCGGCAAGACCCCATTTGGCTTGGCTGTGTGTTTATATCTATGGGCTGTGTGCACGGCTTTTTTTTTGTAACAGCGCGCTCGGCGCCGCGTCCGAATCATAGACTTCAAGCCGAATCTGCCTGAGCATGCACGTCTCACCGCACCGGCACGCAGTTTGCGCGTCTAAATTGCAAAGTTCATTCCAAAGTTTTTTCGTTAAGTTGTTACTGTGTGTGACTTAAAAAAAAAGCACGTTCATTGCAACGTTTGTTTGTTTTGTTAGTTAAGGATTTGTTTACTGTGTGATACATTTAATGGAAAGCACATTCACTTCTAGTTGTCTTGCTGTTCATGTTAAATAAACGTAGAGCCAGTAGCTAATCAGTGTCTGGTTGTTTATTCAAACTAAGTTGTCCTATAACAGACGAAAAGTTATTCAACCCCCCGACGACGGTTATGTTATGAACCGTCACATTTGACTCACGTCATAACCGTCATCACCAATTCTGAAACCGGCACACCCCTAGCCATGATTGCTTTGATTTTATTAAATGTTACCATTTTTTTTATTGTAAATCATTGTTTAGTGATGTTGGATAAATTGATTCACGATTTTTTCTCATGAAATCATGCAATTAATCACAATCCCCAAATAAACAAAGATTAATTATTGTTGCCGACAGGGGCGTATAAAACAAAAAGTGCTTTTAAAAGTATAAATTCTGTCACTCATCATTAACTCAGCACACACAGCAATCCAATTCTTGCATTCTGTCGGGAATATATTTCTGCATCACATCTTGCTTTTAAAAGGAAACCACCATAAATTGCAAAATTCTCTTCTTTGACCTTTGATGCATGTAAACCTGTTGTGAGAAAATAGCATAGACTAATAGGGCCAGAAATATGAATGAAGGAAAACACCAACCTATTTGTTCCTCTGTTTCTTCATCTTTTATTCTGCAGGGTTCTTCCTTAATCTCCATCTTTACAATAGTATGTCCGTAGTTTCTCCTGGAGTAATTCCTCCTGCTTGCTTCTTCTTCTCCTGTGGGAAGATGGGAATATTCCCCAGCATTTAAACTCTCATGAACGGCTGTGGGAGCTTCACTGACTGAAGGAGTGAATTGTGGTCGTTGTTGCTCATTTAGCAGATGATCATCACACTTACAATCACTCGAGATTATCCATGGTTTAAGTGTTTTACTCAAACTGTTTAAAAACACTCAACTTCTCAAACTTTTTATGTTGCTCTTACATTAGATATAATTTACATGCATTAAAAACTTTAACATGTTTAATTTGTTTATTACCTAAAATAAAAACACAACTCATAATCTTCACAAATTGTAATGTGAAAAAAAAACAGTTAACGAGTTTAACGTTACGTTTCACGAGCGTAATGAACAACATCAGTCGGTTGATTTCGATTCATTTCTGAGTGATTCACTAAATGAACGGACTCGTTTTGGGGGTTTGGATTTAGATTTCTCCTAATAAATGATAAAGTGAATGTACTCACAGTCTGATAACAGCAGATTTAGAACAGAATGAACGGTTGTGTTCCACTTCTCATGTTTATTTTCCCTTCCCTCGCTCACTTCTTTTCTTCTCCTAGACTCGGGTGTGTGTCATTGCTTCGGTTGCTCGAGCGCCTCTACTGGCGGAAACCAATTTATATCATATTAAACTATCTAACATTCATAGATTAAATGTGCTATCTGTTATTTTGGCTGATATTATAAAAACTCTTTTTATCTCGCCACATGTGTTTGATTTGGGATAATATAAAGATACAAATTTTAAATATTATTTTAGAAATAACATTTATTGGTTATACAGTTTATTTGCCATAATAGAGGATGTTTGGAAAGGCATAGCCTAGGCCTATATTTAAACTTGCAAATTGTTTTTGATTCTGGTGATTTGAAAACAAGCTTATAGGGCTGTTGAGAACCAGAACTAAACTGACCTGAGCCTGAAGTTTACATGCTTCCCTATTATGGATGTGATTATTGATAAAAAAATATCAAATTCATTTATTGTTTACTTGATCTCTTCAACCACTACAATACTATTAATGAACAGTATGACCTCACTAATGCTGCTGAGTTATTTTCAGCATGTGTAAAGGTTGTTTTATGCTAATTGTTCTGCACAGTTGTAGCTTGTTGTGTGGTTGGATTTCAGTTCTCAAAAGATCTGATCCTGAATCAGCGTGAAAAGAAAAACCTTGACATTGAATTCAGCTCTGAGCGACCAGATCTGGATTCATCAGTAGAGACGAGTAACACATGCAGTAGGACTTTTAGGAATTGAAAATAGGAAAGAGTTTTTTAATGCACATATTTTGAAAAGAGTTTTTTATTTGCTAATAGAAATGTGTCATCATCAGTGGACTCATGTTAAATGTCTTCTTGATGTGGCCGAACTCTGTAATGAAATCAACTGGATCATCACTTATTGTAAATTATTAACAAAGAGGAGATGGATTTTAAAAGAAAAACAAAGAGGCTAAACTGGTTCAGGCACTTTCTCCATTTGCTTCATGCGTCACAGAAGCTGTTCGAAATATTTACTCAGTCATTCATTTCCTGGTGGATTCTGTGGTTCTCGGCTGTGTTTGAAGTCTGAGGTTTCAGTAGCCGTATTCTCCAAGGGTTTAAATGAAAAAATATGAACTAGGGATTAAAATAATAATAAATATTTCCAGATCTGGATTTAGGTGAGTGTTTTCTGTCGTTTGTTTGGCATTTCTATCACGTTCCGATAACGAGAATGCATAGCTCTGATTTAAAACAACTCTTTAAATTACATATACATTTCAGAATTTGCAGAAAAATAACTTTCTATGTCGCTTTTTTGCTTTGATCTGAAAATTTTTCAAAGATCATTGTGCGTTTTTCACTGGAAGCAAGAAAATGCGACTGTTTTTAAGAGTTAACATAATCAATAATCACTCATTTGTGAAAACATGATTAACTATCCCTGACCTATAAATAGTGAAGAATGTAAATATTTTAAAGTCCAAAATATTTTCTACATTTATCTCAGATTGTCAATATGGTCTCAAACTTTTGGCCTGCACTGTACATCAGATTACTCTGTAATAGTGTTTGTCCAGTCAGAATTTCATGATTTCTCTTTAATATTGATGTGGTTATTTTGTGTGTTTTGCAGATGTTCTCTGATATCTCAAAATATGGAGAATAAGATTTCATGCAATATGACAAGAATACTAAACTAAAAGGCCAGAAAGAGAACGAAACGCATCTGAAGGAAAAGAAAAGATGACAGACGAATACAAACCTGCGCTGAAGGAAAAAACATTTAACATAAAAGAAAATGCCCATGGATTCAGAAAACATCTAATTCTGCAGCAGAAAAACAGTATGGACGCACATCGACCAAAGTGTAAGAAAGTTTGAGAGGAATTTCAGGTTTTAACACAAATATCCATATATACACTGTAAAAAATTATCATGATTTTAACGGTAAAAATGCTACAGTGAAAAACTGTTAATTGGTTAACAGAAAGTTTCCTTACTATATACGGTAAATAACTCTGATAGATCTAACGGTACATTTAATGTAATTTTACTGTAAAATACCATTAAATTTACAGTTTTTTAAAGTGAAAAAGAACAACTTATTGAATAATTTACAGTGAAAAACCGTAAATTGACATTCCCACATTTCCCTGCATGACACTTCACATTTGATGTATTTTTGTTGAAATAACTATGTTTCTTCTTAGTTTTCTTAGTTCTTTTCTTATTAGTTATGTACATTAGAGTTTTATGTTACATTTAATGTTGTTAAATTAATGTTTATTGCATTTTTCAAAATTTCATGTGTTACCATGATGCTGTTTAGTGTTTGTGCGAATGACACTGTGCAGCTTCTATATATTAGTATTAAAGGAACACTGCGACTTTTTGGGACTTTAGCCTATTCACCTTATCCCCCAGAGTTAGATAAGTCCATACATACCTTTTTCCTCTCTGTGCGTGCTATAAGTCTGTTTGACGCACCCACCGCTAGCCTAGCTTAGCACAAAGACTGGATGTAAATGGTTGCAGCTAGCATACTAATCCAAATAAGTGACAAAATAACGCAAACATTTTCCTATTTACATGTTGTGATTGGGTGATTGTGATTGTGATTGTGGGCGCGCCGTGGTGAGGAGCAGAAAGCGTGTCTCAGGTGCTGCGGTTATCACGCCGCCCAAGTAGCAGTGCTTCGCCTTCAGAGAATATAGTTCCCAGTATTTATACGGTTAAAATATGTCTGTGTCTCATGTGACTTTGTTTTTTGTACACTCTGTGACTATACAAATCACAACATGTAAATAGGAAAATGTTTGCGTTATTTTGTCACTTATTTGGATTAGTATGCTAGCTGCAACCATTTACATCCAGTCTTTGTGCTAAGCTAGGCTAGCGGTGGGTGCGTCAAACAGACTTATAGCACGCACAGAGAGGAAAAAGGTATGTATGGACTTATCTAACTCTGGGGGATAAGGTGAATAAGACTGGATGTAAATGGTTGCAGCTAGCATACTAATCCAAATAAGTGACAAAATAACGCAAACATTTTCCTATTTACATGTTGTGATTTGTCCCAAAGTCCCAAAAAGTCGCAGTGTTCCTTTAACTTTCTTGTGGATGACCTGCTTGTGATGAGCTTTAATTTATCATGTGACTTTCATCACTGCTGTGATGATTGTTGTTTGTCAGTGTATTACAATGGTACAAAACAGATATTAATACATAAATAGGTTGGTAAATTAACATTATATCAGATAATGAAATACGGTTCATTACTGTAAATTTTAAGTCCAGTCTGTAAAACCAATAATGTCTGTACCATATTTTTGACGGTAAAGTTCTGGCAACCACAGCTGCCGGTATTTTAACGTAAAAATGGCATTTTATTTTTTACAGTGTATGTGATGTGCATGTATACAATGATAATAACATTTGCGCGGTGTATAAGTGAATGTTGACTGTTGACCCTTAACTTGGGCTTTTAGTAATTAAATGCATGGAATTGAATAAAAGTGAAATCCCCCAATGATAAATCAGAATATTATATCAATAGGTTTTCACCAGATACTCGTTGGTTTCTAGACTGTGCTTCTAAAGAGCAACACAGATCGATAAAAAATGAAGAAATGTCATATTAAGACCATTAAACTGCTCTTGCATCATTATGATTTCAGGGTGGATTATGATCATGTGACTCTCTCAATCCGTGGCCTGAACTTCTGTTTGTTTGCTTTCAGTCTCTCTTGATCCAGACGGACCTGCGGAGAAAAGAGAAATTCAGGCATGAGGTCAGAGTTTCACAGCTCATAATCATAAAATAAATCTGCACGCGTTTTGATTTCTAACACTGTGTTTTCTCTTCAGAAAGCGGCAGTTTTTCTCATCTAACTGTTGAACATCTAGAACATCATCTAACATCTAGAATGTTCTTCACGTCACTTTCAGTCGGTGAATCAGAATGAGACTGGAATACAAAACACTATTATTTTCCTCTGAAAATGCTCCTTTTTAAAATGTTTATGCATGGCTATAACTGTACCGTGTATAGGCTATACTTAAACTGATTTTGATTTAATACTGTGTACACAGGCTTATATATTTTGTCATAATGATCAGACAATGATAAAGAAGATGACAAATCTTCCTCCTATTTGAACTGGTATAGTTCATGTTGCACAAACTGTTTAGAGACTGAAAATATTTTTCCTTAAACGTGTCATTTTTACTTCCGTTTAGAAGGTATTTTTTATCTTAAGAACCTCCTATAACTGGTGTCAAGTGTCTTGTTCAAGTTCACAATGATCTGTGTTTGAGTTGCATAATGAGCACATGGTCAGCAGGGATGAAATGTCTTTATTATTTGGATTCTGCTGAACACTTTGTGAAGGTCATGTAAGTGTCAAAGTGTATTTACAACATTAAACTCTGTCTGTTTATACTTGAAAGTGATCTCGGTCCCAAATTTATTCTTTAATGTCTAAATGACCATGTTTATACAATGCTCAATAAATATTTATCTAAACCAACAGACGTGGCTGCGTAACGTCACTTGTCACAAGTAGAACAGCCTATAATATGAAGCACACTGTAAAAAAAATCTTAATTTTAACAGTAACATTTTTTTTAAAAGCATGTTAATTGCTTAACAGTATTTATCCTTTTTCACAGTTACCACCTAATGGTCATCGTCTCTGTCACTATCAACGTCACTGTCGTCGTCACTATTACTGTTGTCGTCACTGTTACTGTCATCGTCACTGTCACAGTCATCATCACTATTACTGTCATCATCACTGTTACTGTCATCGTCACTGTTACTGTCATCATCACCGTTACTGTCATCGTCACTGTTACTGTCATCGTCACTGTTACTGTCATCGTCACTGTTACTGTCATCATCACTGTTGCTGTCTGTCATCATCACTGTTACTGTCATCATCACTGTTACTGTCATCATCACTGTTGCTGTCTGTCATCATCACTGTTACTGTCATCGTCACTGTTACTGTCTGTCATCATCACTGTTACTGTCATCATCACTGTTACTGTCATCATCACTGTCACAGTCATCATCACTGTTACTGTCATCATCACTGTTACTGTCATCATCACTGTTGCTGTCTGTCATCATCACTGTTACTGTCATCGTCACTGTCACAGTCATCATCACTGTTACTGTCATCATCACTGTTACTGTCATCGTCACTGTTACTGTCTGTCATCATCACTGTTACTGTCATCATCACTGTTACTGTCATCATCACTGTTACTGTCATCATCACTGTCACAGTCATCATCACTGTTACTGTCATCATCACTGTTACTGTCATCATCACTGTTGCTGTCTGTCATCATCACTGTTACTGTCATCGTCACTGTCACAGTCATCATCACTGTTACTGTCATCATCACTGTTACTGTCATCATCACTGTTGCTGTCTGTCATCATCACGGTTACTGTCATCGTCACTGTTACTGTCTGTCATCATCACTGTTACTGTCATCATCACTGTTACTGTCATCATCACTGTTACTGTCATCGTCACTGTTACTGTCATCGTCACTGTTACTGTCATCATCACTGTTACTGTCATCATCACTGTTGCTGTCTGTCATCATCACTGTTACTGTCATCATCACTGTTACTGTCATCATCACTGTTACTGTCATCGTCACTGTTACTGTCATCATCACTGTTACTGTCATCGTCACTGTTACTGTCATCGTCACTGTTACTGTCATCATCACTGTTACTGTCATCATCACTGTTACTGTCATCATCACTGTTACTGTCATCGTCACTGTCACAGTCATCATCACTGTTACTGTCATCGTCACTGTCACAGTCATCATTCAGCGAGGCTACACGCATCTGCTGATCCTGAGAGAAGCCGCCGTCGTCGAAAAGGCAACTCTAGCGAGCATCTGGGAGACTGAGGAAGCCGGCCGTCTTCGCCACCTTCAGCCGTCCTGCGAGCTAGCGCCATCCGACGGATTTGTATCCTTTTTACGAAAAAGCTTCCTGTATTGTATTGTATCTAAAAGAGCCGAGCGTCTTTGTAAAGATGTCTCGTAAATCTTCCTGCGGTTCCTGCCGCGCTCCCCTCGAGACTGGAGACCGCCACGTCATCTGCGCTCTCTGCCTCGGATTGGGGCACGCCGAGCTCGCCCTCGCCCATGGCGGCTGCGTTCTCTGCGAGGAGATGCCGTTGTCGACCCTGCGGGCTCGACTTCAGGCCACTAAAGTTGCTTCCGCGCCGCCTCTGACTTCGCCGCGGAAGAAGAAACGCCGCTCTCAGAGGCCGCCGGAACCCCAGCTGGAAGCGTTCATCTCGCCGGAGCCTGTCGCCTCCCGCTCTCCTTCTCCGCCGCTTCCGGACGTACAGTTGCCGCCGAGTGGCCGCTCTGTCGCCTCCGATGACGCCGCGGACATCAAGGAAACCTGTTCGCTTCTCGCTTCAGACAGTGAAGAATGGTCCGGTTCTCACGCCTCCTCGGCCCGAGAATCCTCTGGGACCCGCGCTAGAATCGAGGAGGAATTAGTGCGCCTCCTCTCACAGGCCGTCGAACGCCTCGGGCTCGATTGGTCTCCTCCCCCCGAGCAGAACATCAACCGTATGGACGGCAGCTACTTCCGCCAGCGCTCGACTCCCGTCACTAAACGGGCCGCGCCCTTCCTGCCTGAACTGCACGCGGAACTCACGAAGTCCTGGAATGCCCCGCTCTCTGCCAGAACTCGCTCTGACTCTTCCGCCCCGCTTCGCGTTGTGGACGGAGCCGCAGAAAAGGGCTATCTCTCCATTCCCCCTGTAGAGGACCTGGTCGCCGCACATTTATGCCCGCCTTCCACGAGATGGCGCTCATCACCTGTGCTTCCCTCTAAAGCCTGCAGAGCAACTTCGAGCTTTCACGCCCGCGCTTACTCAGCCGCCGGCCAAGCAGCCTCTGCACTCCACTCCATGTCCGTCCTTCAGATTCTACAGGGCGATTTACTTCGTGAATGGGACGAGAGCGGTAAAAATCCCCCCTCAGTCGCGGATTTGAGGAGCGCCACGGACATTGCCCTTCGCGCTACAAAATCTGCTGCTCAAGCCCTTGGGAAATGCATGGCTGCCATTTGTGTGTCTGAAAGACATTTGTGGCTCACACTCGCCGACATGGGAGATTCTGAGTGTGCTGCCTTTCTCAACGCCCCGCTCTCTCCATCCGGCCTCTTCGGATCTGCTGTCACGGGTATCGTTGACCGTTTCTCCGAAGTGCAGAAAGCCTCCCAGGCCATGAATCTTTTTCTGCCTCGTCGCGCTAGCTCCTCTGCAGGCCGCTCACGTGACCAGCCTCCTGCACGAGCCCCACCCCAGCGCCCAGCTCAGCACAGTCAGACTTCTCAGCGACGCCAGGGCGGCCGCCCTCGTTCTCGCTCTGACAGCCGCCACAGACCGCCGCCTCCCCGGGGGCCTCGGCCCAGGATCACGCTGAAACCTGATCACTCGAAGTCTGCCTAGCACAGCTGAGGAAAAGACGGCGCTCTCCCGCCGCCGCCGGACCGCCGGACCGCCGTCAAAGTTTCGCCCTCTGTTAGTCCCCGCTCACGCGGCTACTACAGCAGTGTACCCCGCCATTACCAAGCCGGGTCCCCTTTCCCGCTTGCATGAGCACAAACGCCGTTTTCACGGCGACCCAGAGAAATCTCAAAAAGAGCATAAAAGCCTCACGTGTAGAAGATGTGCCCACAACACTGTGTTCACTCATACACAAAAGCATTTCAGTTCCCGTGTGTCTCACAGAGCCCACTCTCATAAAGCGGTTCCAACCCGCTCGAGTTTCAGAGCGCATAAGCGCGCCCACGAGCCCGTGTGTGCGTCCCACCTCTGCTCACTCTGTTACACGGCCCTTAAGCTCCTCTCTGAGTGTAAGTCCCGCTGTCATAAACACTATGAGCGCGCCCGCGCAGCCCGCTATGTGCAGCAACGGGGACCATGTAGCCATTCACCCCTTAGCGTTACGCTTTAAAGCGTGGGAAGCTATTCCGGGAATTTCCCAGTGGGTGCTAAACACAATAAGGCTAGGCTATCGCTTACAGTTTCACCGCCGCCCTCCACGTTTCCGAGCGCGGCTAGAAACTATTGTGAACCCAGAAGCAGTGACTCTGCTCCGTTCAGAGATAGCAAAACTATTGTGCAAAAGGGCTATAGAGAGAGTTCCTCTATCTATGAGCGAGTCTGGGTTTTACGGCCATTATTTTCTGGTTCCAAAGAAAGACGGCGGCCTCAGACCAATCTTAGACCTCAGATTTCTGAACAAAGTTCTCATGAAGAGACCGTTCAAAATGCTCACTATCAGAAAACTCCTCGCGCACGTGCGCCAGGGGGACTGGTTCATTTCACTAGATCTGAAAGATGCTTACTTTCAGATTCAGATAAATCCCCTTCACAGGCCATTCTTACGTTTCGCCTTCGAAGGCCAGGTTTATCAATACACCGTCCTTCCGTTCGGCCTATCCCTAGCACCCCGCACGTTCACGAAGTGCATGGATGCGGCGCTCGCCCCCCTGTGGAGTCAGGGGCTGCGAATACTGAACTATTTGGACGACTGGCTGATTTTGGCACGATAACAGAGAGAGCTACTGTCTCATCGTACAGTTCTCCTCGACCATCTGAAAGCTTTGGGCCTCTCTGTCAACTGGACAAAGAGCGCACTACAACCCAGTCAGACTATCTCCTTCTTGGGTATAGAGCTAGACTCGGTCACGATGACGGCTCGTCTGTCAACACAGCGCGCGCGCCGTGTTCAGCGTCTCGCCGCATCTTTTCAGATGAACAGACTCACACCTCTGAAAACTTTTCCGAAGGCGTTGGGTTACATGGCCTCAGCCTCCGCGGTGCTCCAGCTGGGGTTACTGCGCATGCGCCCGCTTCAGCTCTGGTTGAAGAGCCGTGTGTCTCACCGCGCGTGGACCACGGGCCGCCAGCTGATAAAGGTAACGCAGACCTGTATCACAGCTCTGCAGCCATGGACCGTAGCAGAATGGTTTCAGCGGGGCGTTTCCATGGGGACCTTTTCTCGCCGGAAGGTCATCTCGACAGACGCATCTAACACGGGTTGGGGTGCGGTCTGCGAGGGCTCACCGGCCTTCGGCCCCTGGTCAGCTCA